GGGTTAGGGTTAGGGTTAGGGTTAGTTCGTTTAGGGGTGGGGTTATGGTTATTTGGGTTAGTGTTAGTGCTATTTCAGTTAGGGTTATGGATAGTTGCGTTATGTTTAGGGTTGGGTTTATTTGCTTTATGGTTAGGGTGATTTGGGTTAGTGCTAGGGTTAGGGTTAGGGTTAGGGTTAGGGTTAGGGTTAGGCTTAGGGTCAGGGTTAGGGTTAGGGTTAGGGTTAGGGTTAGTGTTACGATTAGTACGGTTCGGCTTGGGGTTATGGTTATTTGGGTTAGTGTTAGTGCTATTCCTGTTAGGGTTATTGTTAGTTGCGTTATGTTTAGGGTTGGGTTTATTTGGGTTAGGGTTAGGATTATTTGGGATAGTGTTTGGGTTAGGGTTAGTTGAGGGTTAGGGTTAGGGTTAGTCTTAGGGTTAGGGTTAGGGTTAGGGTTATGGTTAGGGTTAGGGTTAGGGTTAGGGTTAGGGTTAGGGTTAGGGTTAGGGTTAGGGCTTGGGTTAGGGTTTAGTTAGTTCAGTTATGGCTGGGATTATTGTTAATTGGGTTAGTGTTAGTGCTATTTCTGTTAGGGTTATGGATAGATGTGTTATGATTAGGGTTGGGTTTATTTGAGTTAGGGTTAGGGATATTTGGGTTAGGGTTAGGTTTAGGGTTATTTCGGCTAGTGTTAGGGTTAGGGTTAGGGTTAGGTTATTTCAGTTAGGGGTGTGGTTATGGTTCTTTGGGTTAATGTTAGTGCTATTCCTGTTAGGGTTATGGTTTGTTGCGTTATGGTTAGTGTTGGGTTTATTTGCGTTAGAGTTAGGGCTATTTGGGTTAGGGTTAGGGTTATTTGNGGTTAGGGATGGGTTTAGTGTTAGGGTTAGGGTTAGGGTAAGGGTAAGGGTTAGGGTTAGGGTTAGGATTAGTGTTAGGTTTAGGGTTTGGGTTAGGGTTTGAGTTCATTCGGTTATGGTTGGGGTCATGGTTATTTGGGTTAGTGTTAGTGCTATTTCTGTTAGGGTTATGGATAGATGTGTTATGATTATGGTTGGGTTTATTTGAGCAAGGGTTAGGGATATTAGGGTTAGGGTTAGTGTTAGGGTTATTTGGGCTAGGGTTACGTTTAGGGTTAGGGTTAGGTTTAGTTCGGTTAGGGGTGGGATTATGGTTATTTGGGTTAGTGTTAGTGCTATTTCTGTTAGGGTTATGGATAGTTTCGTTATGTTTAGGGTTGGGTTTATTTGCGTTAGGTTTAGGGTTATTTGGCTTAGGGTTATGCTTAAGGTTAGGGTTAGGGTTAGATTTAGGGTTAGGGTTAGAGTTAGTTCGGTTAGGGATATTTGGGCTAGTGTTAGGGTTAGGGTTATTTGGGCTAGGGTTACGTTTAGGGTTAGGGTTAGGGTTAGGGTTAGGGTTAGTTCGGTTAGGGGTCAGATTATGGTTATTTGGGTTAGTGTTAGTGCTATTTCTGTTAGGGTTATGGATAGTTGCGTTATGTTTAGGGTTGGGTTGATTTGCGTTAGGTTTAGGGTTATTTGGCTTAGGGTTATGCTTATGGTTAGGGTTAGGTTTAGAGTTAGTTCGGTTAGGGTTATTTGGGCAAGGGTTAGGATTAGGGTTACGGTTAGGGTTAGGGTTAGGGGTTAGGGTTAGGGTTAGGATTAGGGTTAGGGTAAGGGTTAGGGTTAGGGTTACGGTTAGGGTTAGGGTTAGGGTTAGTGTTAGGGTTTGGGTTAGTGTTTGAGTTAGTTCGGTTATGGTTGGGGTCATGGTTATTTGGTTTAGTGTTTGTGCTATTTCTGTTAAGGTTATGGGCAGATGCGTTATGAAAAGGCTTGGGTTTATTTGAGTTAGGGTTAGGGATATTTGGTTTAGGGTTAGGGTTATTTGGGCTAGGGTTAGGGTTAGGGTTAGGGTTAGGGTTAGGTTTCGGGTTAGGGTTAAGGTTAGGGTTAGGGTTAGGGTTAGGGTTATGGTTAGGGTTAGGGTTAGGGTTAGGGTTAGGGTTAGGGTTAGGGTTAGNGTTAGGGTTAGGGTTAGGGTTAGGGTTAGGGTTAGGGTTAGGGTTAGGGTTAGGGTTATGGTTAGGGTTAGGGTTAGGGTTAGGGTTAGTGTTAGGGTTTTGGGTTAGGGTTTGAGTTAGTTTGGTTATGGTTGGGGTTATGGATATTTGGGTTAGTGTTAGTGCTATTTCTGTTGGGGATATGGACAGATGTGATATGATTAGGGTTGGGTTTATTTCAATTAGGGTTAGGGATATTTGGGTTAGGGTTAGGGTTATTTGGGCTAGGGTGGGGTTAGGAGTAGGGTTAGTGTAAGGGTTACGGGTTAGTGTTAGGGTTACGGTTAGGGTTAGGTTTAGTGTTAGGGTTTGGTTTAGGTTTTGAGTTAGTTCGGTCATGGTTGGGGTTATGGTTATTTGGGTTAGTGTTAGTGCTATTTCTGTTAGGGTTATGGATAGATGCGATATGATTAGTGTTGGGTTTATTTGAGTTAGGGTTAGAGATTTTTGGGTTAGGGTTAGGGTTATTTCGGCTAGCTTTATGTTTAGGGTTAGGGTTAGTTCGGTTAGGGCTGGGATTATGGTTATTTGGGTTAGTGTTAGTGCTATTTCTGTTAGGGTTATGGATAGTTGCGTTATGTTTAGGGTTGGGTTTATTTGCGTTAGGGTTAGGGTTATTTGGTATAGGATTAGTGTTAGGGGTAGTTGAGCTACGGTTAATGTTAGTGTTAGGGTTAGGGTTATTTGGGCTAGGGCTAGGGCTAGCGTTAGGGTTAGGGTTAGGGTTAGGTTTAGGGTTAGGTTTAGGGTTAGAGTTAGTTCGGTTATGGTTGGGGTTATGTTTATTTGGGTTAGTGTTAGTGCTGTTCCTGTTAGGGTTATTGTTAGTTGCGTTATGTTTAGGGTTGGTTTTATTTCCGGTAGGTTTAGCGTTATTTGTCTTAGGGTTACGCTTAGGGTTAGGGTTAGGGTTAGGGTTAGGGTTAGGGTTAGTTCGCTTAGGGGTGGGGTTACGGTTATTTGGGTTAGTGTTAGTGCTAATTCTCTTAGGGTTATGGATAGTTGCTTTATGTTTAGGGTTGGGTTTATTTCCGTTATGATTAGGGTTATTTGGGTTAGGGTTAGGGTTGTTTGGGCTAGGCTTAGGGTTAGGGTTAGGGTTAGTGTTCGTGTTAGGGTTAGGGTTAGGGTTAGGGTTAGGGTTATTTGGGTTAGGGTTAGGTTTAGGGTTCTTTGGGCTAGGGTAGGGTTAGGGTTAGGGTTCGGGTTAGTTCGGTTAGCGGTGGGGTTATGGTTATTAGGGTTATTGTAAGGGCTATTCCTGTTAGGGTTATTGTTAGTTGCGTTACAGTTATGACTGGGTTTGGGTTAGGGTTAGGGTTAGTTTAGTGTTAGGGTTAGGGTTAGTGTTAGGGTTAGGTTTAGGGTTAGAGTTAGTTCGGTTAGCCTTGCGGTTATGGTTATTTTGGTTAATGTTAGTGCTATTCCTGTTAGGGTTATTGTTAGTTGCGTTATGTTTAGGCTTAGGTTTATTTGAGTTAGGGTTAGGGATATTTGGGTTAGGGTTAGGGTTAGGGTTATTTGGCTAGGGTGGGGTTAGGATTAGGGTTAGGGTTAGGGTTAGGGTTAGGGTTAGTGTTAGGGTTTGGGTTAGGGTTTGAGTTAGTTTGCTTATGGTTGGGGTCATGGTTATTTGGGTTAGTGTTAGTGCTATTTCTGTTAGGGTTATGGATAGATGCGTTATGAAAAGGGTTGGGTTTATTTGAGTTAGGGTTAGGGATATTTGGGTTAGGGTTAGGGTTATTTGGCCTAGGGTTAGGGTTAGAGTTAGTTCGGTTAGCCTTGCGGT